ACGTTTTAATTATATTCTATTATAGTGCGATTTTAATGTACTTAGCTGATACTATACTATACCGGTACGTATGGTACTGCTGGTACTTTACTATGTAACTAAATATTTGACACTATTTCATGATTCAATTCATGTTGAAATTGTACCTAAATAAAGAGATTATTATTTTATTTTTATTTTTATTTTTATTTTTATTTTTATTTTTATTTTTATTTTTATTTTTATTTTTATTTTTATTTTTATTTTTATGTTTTATTTTATTTAATTTTTTTAACACGAAAAAGGGAGCATTTGCGGTATAAGTAGGCTAAAGTCAGTAATACACACTATCTTGCTTGGAATTGAGTGGGTGACGTACTGCAGGCCTCAGCACATGCTGTTCCTAGCGCCAGGGGGAAGGGTCTTCTCCAGCCGAGCCTGCGTGGGTCCGTTTATTGGAGTCCCTTAACGACCGCCCCCCACCAAGGACTTATGCGGCGGGCGAAATCACCCACCAACGAGCCAGCCGGCATTTAGCACCGGAGACCCGCCCGACGGCTTCGGAGGAGAGTCGGCGTCTACCACGATCGGCGAGCAGCCTCGCTAACCCCTCGGCGCCGAGGTCCGAGCCCGAGGCCTCGGAGTTTTGGGGTACACAGATAGAGCGGTATTGGCCTCGGGCTTAGCCCCGGCTTGTCGGCGAACACCAGAGTATTCGCCCGCCCGACAGGCTCGCTCCATTACTCGGCTCGGGTTCTCGCGGGCTGTTCTGGTCAGCCCGCTTCAATACTTAGCGGTTTAAACCCCCGAGCCGTTCGCCCCGGCAAGAGAGCGGCCCGCGTCACCGGGTCCGCCCGCCGCCGAGCGCTCGTTAGTCAGAAAAGCGCGCGCGTCTGAAGCGCGCGTCCGGCAGTCAGTTTAGATACGTGCTCCCTCTGCGATCACTCCTCGGAGTGCGAGACTCCTGCGGGCATAGCCCTGTCCCGGCCGGCGGTTGACGCCGTCGGCCGAGTGAGGCGGTGTCGCCGGGTGGCCCGTCCTGCAAGCCAGTCCTGACTCGACCCCCGGTCGGTTCACAGTGGGTTGCAATCCTTTGACTCGTTGTCCAAACGACAGGACAGAGTCGGAATCCATTCTGCTTGAACTGTATTCGGGCCTTCAGCCTAGAACGAATCCTAGACCGTCGTGGCTCGACACGTCGAGCCACGGTCGCTGCTTTAGGGTCCGGGCGGAACGCTAGGAGGGTCCTGCATTCGGCCTGTTGCTCTGCAGCCCTGGATTTTCGAGCGGTCTGCAGACTCGGCAGCCGTGAGGGGGCCTGTTTTGGGCCACGATTGCCCCCCGCTTCGGAGGTTCTTTGCTACCCTTGAGCCGACCCCCGCGGACGGTATACCGACGAGATCCCTCTGTCTGCAAGGACACTATCTTGCTTGAGTGAAAAGTAAATTTTATTTTAAAATAAAGTTTAAAAATTTCCTTTTAAAGTTAAATTAAAAAGAATTAATCGATATTAAGAAACGACCTGACAATATTTGACTTGCTTATGACAACATACTTCTACATTGAGTGAAGCAGGAGCTCACTCCAGCAGGAGCATTCCAAGAACTCGATAGATGTTTAACTAAACATTTTAGAACTATTCCCGTTCCTGACATTATAAGGAACTTGATGCAAACAATGTTCAGGTTCCATAATCGCTTTATTTCCGCAGCTAAGGGCAGATATTTTGCCATCTTTTCTTGATACTTCAGCTCCAAGTTATGATTATTAGGAATGCTAATATCGATGATGTAAGTGGGACTATCTCGCTTATCAACAAGCACTGTCCGGCCTGATAGCCATGATGGTTTTATCAGTTAAGATCGGGTTGGCCCAGAAGAGCCGAAAGTGCTGATTCTCCAGGACCGTGGCAGGGCAATATTTTTGTAGTAAGTACGATTCAGCAGTTTCACATTTTTACAAATCCCAAATGCCTCAAAAAGGATCTTTTTTGATTTGGGTTATAACTGTTAAATGGACAGGTTGTCCCATGTCGCATCCATCGATATGTTACACCTCACATGGAAATAATTTGAGTCCAAATTATGGCTACTTTTTATGGCTTTTAGGAGCGACAACGCTTGATGAGTCAAGACAAATAGGAATTCTATCTCTCAAAAAACACTTAGCAGCAACAATTTTTTGGGTTCTGCTAATGTTGACGCTGAATCCGAATTTTAACTTAGTGACAAAAAGTTCTGCCAAAAAGTTGCCAAATTTGTTCAAAATGGCTGAAAATCGGCATTTTTCGGTTCTCTATAAGCTGAGCGATGCGAAGTTAGTTTGTAACGTGAGGTGTTACAAATGTTGAATTTAACTTTTCGATCACACCCGCCATCTTGAATTTAAAAAATCTGACAAAAATTCGGGTTCCTCATTGAGAAGTGTCCCCTTCAACCATAAATACATAGGCTGTCCAAAAAGTACCGAGACTGGTTCCATAACTCAAAAACCAAGATAGCTAGAGGCTTGATCTTGGTTTCATTTGAAAGATCAACTCGATATCTATCGATTAAAATCAAAATCAAAACTTTTGGTCAAATACCTATTTCAAAAGTTACAACAGTGTTTTTAAAAAAAATATCAGGACCCCCTACCGTTTTTTATGACTATTTTCTCTTGCCGAGAACACTCTCTCAATTATTAATGATCAGTGCACGGTTCTTTTGCAACGAATCATGGCAAAACGTAATCGATTTGGAAACACTGTCAAGCCGTCGTCGTCCGACTACGGGTATAAGGGTTCAAAGTCCACAGGGAAAGAATCAACCGTCGGTCAGCCACCCCTAAAAAACCCGGGAAATTTTCGGCAGTTGTTGACAGTTCACAGTGCGTGCGTGGTCTACGCTGCAGATAGTGAGTGATTTTGTTTCTGTGTTCGAAATTTTTGATACCACATAGAAAGAGATAAAGCAGTGGTACCAAAAATTTCGAACACAGAAACAAAATCACTCACTATCTGCAGCGTAGACCACGCACGCACTGTGAACTGTCAACAACTGCTGAACATATCCCGGGTTTTTTTGGGGTGGCTAACCGACGATTCATTCTTTCCCCGTGGATTTTGAACCCTTATACCCGTAGTCGGACGACGACGGCTTGACAGTGTTTCCAAATCGATTAGGTTTTGCCATGATTAGTTGCAAAAGAACCGTGCACTGATCATTAATAATTGAGAGAGTGTTCTCGGCAAGAGAAAATAATCATAAAAAACGGTAGGGGGTCCTGATATTTTTTTTACAAACACTGTTGTAACTTTTGAAATATTTGACCAAAAGTTTTGATTTTGATTTTAATCGATAGATATCAAGTTGATCTTTCAAATGAAACCAAGATCAAGCCTCTAGCTATCTTGGTTTTTGAGTTATGGAACCAGTCTCGGTTCTTTTTTGACAGCCTATGTATAATTCAAATTAATTGGATGGGCTACGAAACGACATTCTAGGTAATATCTGCAATCTTCAATTTACAAAATTTGACAAAATAATTTTATGATTCGAGTTTTTTGTCAACAAAAAATAGTTACCTAGTTGCATTAGACTGGATTGGATAGGCGGCGCGCACCAAGAGAGAGCATTCTTTTGCATCTACAATGGAAAAGTTCAGCACAGTTTATGAAGAGAGTTTTAGATTTTTTTTTTTTTTCACAATTGTGCTGCATTTCATTGTAATTCATTCATCCTCTAACAGGTATCCTTAAATAAATCAACAATAAGTAACTTAAAGATATCTGAGGTTGCAAAGAGTGGGAATATTTGATTTTCGCGAGTAACTAGAGTTTCAAATAGTGGGGACCCACAAACCTCGTAGGTACAGACATAAAGTTTTGACATCGACCGGAACAATTACCAGAAGAGGATGATCTTAAAATTTTCAGATGTATCTCCATTGGATTTGAGTGGTTGACCTACTACAGGCCTCAGCAAGCGGCTGTTCCTAGCGCCAGGGGGACGGTCTCCCCAGACGAGTCTACGTGGGTCCGTTTAGAGGGGTCCCCTAACGACCGCCCCCCACCAAGGACTTACGCGGCAGGCGATATCACCCACCATCGACTCACCCGGCATACGACACCGGAGACCCGCCCGACGGCTGCGGAGGAGAGACGGCGTCTACCACGACCGTCGAGCAGCCTCGATAACCCCTCGTCGACGAGTCCGAGCCCGGAGCCGTATCAGAGTGGGGTTTACACAAGTTGTGCGCGGTGAGGGCCCCGGGCTAAGAGCCCCGGCTTGACAGCGGTCCGCCGTTAGAGGCGTTCTCCGCCCGCCGGCAGGCTCGCTCCGTGTGTCGGACTCGGGACTCTGTCTTGCTGGCCGGTTCTGGTCGGCCCGCTTCGATAATTGCGGTTTTTATCCCCGAGTCGTTTGCCCCGGCAAGACAGTGGCCCGCGTCACCGGGTCCGCCCGCCGCCAGGCGCTCGCTTTCAGAAGAGCACGCGCGTCATAAGGCGCGTGTCCGGCAGCTGGTTAAGATATGGACTACCTTTGCAATCCCGCCTCGGAGCTCGAGACTCCTGCGGGCAGAGCCCAGGCCCGGCCGGCGGTTGACGCCGTCGGCTGGGTGAGGCGAGTCGCTGGTTGGTCCGTCCCGCCAAGCGGTCCCAGCTCGGCCCCCGGCCGGCGCACCGCGAGCTGCGGCCCCTGCCTCACGGCCAGACGACAGGACAGAGACAGAGACCCCCGTCGGTGTACACCCTGTTCGGGCCTTCGTGTGTGTGCGCTACTGTAAATATAAAATGTCATGAAGACAAATAAACACCGATAAATCGAAAGAGCTTTTTGGAAACATAGATAACCCCTACGTGAGTTAGTTTCAACACCATTGGTTCAAGGTTCTAGGGGAACGCAGTTCTCATGAACATTGAACAGCATTAAGGGAATGAACTATAACTGCATAGCTACGCAGCATGCATTTAAAAAATAAAAATAAAAAATTTACGGGTACTGACCCAAGAACTATTAAGGTATAAGAAATCATCATACCAAATCTTCCAGCATAAATAAAGCTTCGGAGAGAACTCTGTAGGCACTAGTTTTACCACCAAATGGTTTGCCAATTATTGCAACCCCTTGTCGCACTGATAGCATTTCATAGATCTGGAGTACTTTTTCTAGAAAGAAAGCATTACATTGAAGGTTGGCTGAGTGACATGCTTCATTAATAAAACGTTGAAGATTATCATTATTAGGTTTAGCTGGCACAACGTTTGGAAATAAATCTGTCAAAATCATCTGAAAAAGTAGAACAAAGCATGATTAAATTTCGCAAATTATGGCAGCAAATGAAGAAATATTGTTGGTCGAACTTCACGACACAAAATTTACACTGATGAAATGAATCGGCAATGGCAGTGTATGCGAGAATTTGCTCGATCCTATGGTCTTACTCTGAACTCTTACGTTCCATAGCATTACGGTGCCCACTGTTCATCGGAGGGGCCGGAACTGACTTTGTCGGGAGATCAGGCGTATTTTAATATTCTAATGTTGAATAAGTCCATCCTTTGAATCTTGATTGGCCAGCAGCAGTGCAGTTTTAGCTCACTAACATGACGAATGTTGCATTTCTGGGTGAGCACCGACAAAATTTGGCTTGTGGGCTTCTTTTTAAGTAGGGTGAAAACAGTGGTTTAAGCACAGCTGTTGCCGGATGGCGCAACAAATAATTAAATTCTTGGTTCGGCCTACCAACACCGCATTTTCCAGCGTTTTTGGTGGTTTTGAAAATTAAATTGTATTTAAATAATGGGCTCCTGGCAACATCGCAAATTGATAAATGTATCTTGGTGCAACAGCGTTGCCACATGCGGTGCAGAGAACTAAATAATAAAATTATTGGTGCCATCTGGTAACATTATCCAATGGATATGTTAGCGGCAAAACCCGATTCCAGGCAAAACTAGGTTTGCCGGACCAGAAAAAGTACGTAAACCAAAAATTTAAAAAAAGGGGGAAAAAAAGAAAAAAGAGCGAAGGGTAAAATAGTAACTTTACGAAATATTTAAGAGCAGGGAGTCACTTTATTTACTACACCAAGAAGTCTTATGCAAAAAAACATAAATTAAAGCAAAACTTTGAGATCAAAAATAGGTTAAAAATATCACTCATCAGAGCGTCCGAATCTTGTCAACATGAGGGAGAGACACTGATAATAGCTCAGCTGGTCGGAATCTAGGTACCTACTCCCGACCTGCCGGTGACAGATCCATGACCTTCCCGAAATGTAAACAATGTTACATAATTCGGTCTCGCTCAGCATCGCCAAATACTCCGCTTGTACTAATTAATTTCTATTGGCAGGACCAGTTTTGCCAGACCTCATCAGTTTTGCCTGAACATCAGCAGGTAAAACTAGTTCCGCCTACGGTCGGCTAGTTTTGCCTACGCAAATCAGGCAAAACCGGTTTTGACTAGGCAGATCTAGTTTTGCCGGTTCATTTCTGACAGAACTAGATTTGCCTCGGGAAAACTAGTTCTGCTAGATTAATGAATCTAAGGGGGCTAATCCTTCCGGTTTGCCCCCTTAAAAGGGAAAATAAGAAGCTCCGAAAAGAAGTACGTAGGTACCATCCAAATATGAGCAAAAAGGAAATGAGACACTCTCGACAAACCAGAAAGTAGCACCTAGGGCGTCTGAGTTCGAGAGTGCCCCATTAGGATATGTTAACGCTTGAAGGACGCCAACCGTAGACTATTTTAATTTCGGAGGGACCCAGAATAGGCCATACTACAGATTACCCCCACTCATCCGTGTCAGCCATCCAACACAAAGTGTAAGAGAACTGACAGGGAAGAGCGAAGTTTCCCGCAAAAAATTGTTGACAAACTTTGAAAGACCAGAAAACTAAGATGCATCAGCTAAGTTTGCATGCTAATTACTTATGGTCTTTCTTTTTTATCCATCAGGATTCGTTATTTATTCAAAAAGGTGCAAAATAAACAGAAAATGTAACAAAAGGTAACATGGTAACAATAAGAACAACTTTTCTTCTTTTTTTCTTTGGAAAACGAATTCTTCATGTTTAATATACATAGAAAGTATTATGCACTCGGAGTGAAAATGAAGAGGAAAAAAAATGAGAAATATTAAGTTACACAGTTAGTAGTTAAGAGAGCACAATTTTTCTTTCTTATCAGCCCTTCTTCGAGACTCTTTTTCTTCAACGTTCTACAAACCGGAATTTTGTGATTGTATTTTTTACAATAATTACAAAATTTGCCATTATTTTGCGATCTCTTGTGTGAGCGTTCCCCTTTACGAGGACAAAATTGTAATAAATGGTCCCCACTACAGCCGTATCAGCGTTTTTCAGCAGCTCTGAATACAACCCCTTCCGACTGCTTGTTCTCCTGTTTTCTATTTTCTTCCGAAAGTAATCGTGATTTTAGCATAGATAGGGTGCCTTTGCCACTGGGAGTTGCATCCCATGCAGACTGAAAAAAAGCTGTAATTCGATGGTGATTTAGACAAAATTTGTTAACATATATTCGGAGATAATTTAATATTTAATAAGAATTCACTTGCACGTTCTTTATACCGGTCGGACGCTTTTCGATCTCATCGCTAGACCATCATCAGCGACTGACCCACCGCTGCTATTGAATTACTTCAGGTTGACATTTTGCTTTTCTCCACCTCCCCTCCGATAATCGAGGGCTTTGAATATTGGGTTTGAAATCCCCGAAAAATGGATTTTACAGAAAAACTATTGATAGTTTATTTAGGAACAAGAAAATACTTCAATCAATTAAACAACCCTTGTATCTCAAAACAAAGAAAAGAAAATTTTTTAGATGTTTTAACTATCACCAAAGAGTGAGTAGGTACCTGGTACCTGACAAATTTTAAACGATTTTTTATAAATATAATATAAATCTGGCTGTTTACGCCGGAGGCGTTGAGGGAATTTTTGCGCTCGAGGCGCGGATGGACCCCTGAGAGGAACTCGCCAGGGCTTTCCAGAGGGTACCTCTTGGAGGTGGAATATAAAGTCCTAGGAGCAACTCCCTTGGGGTTGGTTTGGTGGGAGGAATGAATGCCAGCCTTAAGGAGGTGGCTCCAAGGGCGGGAGGGAGACGTCCTTTAAGAGTAACTCCTAGGGTCGGCACCTGGAGCGGAGCGTTGCAGGTGGCCGGTGCGGCGTGATCTAGAGAGGAACTCTCGAGAGCTGGTCAAAGCAAGATGTGCCGCGAGAGTGTCTCTCATGGAAGTGGCGATGGAAGTGACGAATGGAGCAAGTCACGGCACAGTATTTATACCCGCCAGAGTGAGAGGGGACGACCGCTTGCCTCAATGCGTAGGAGCGAGATGGATGGATCACGTGCCGCGACACGTGCCGTTGCGTAACGTGGGCAGTGCGAACGGCATACGCATGGTCGCAAGGGGAGGAGAGGAGGGAGTGCGCGCTGCTCCCATGATGCTGTGACGCAACCGCGGCGCGGGTGACGGAAGCAGGGCCAGCGGCGCGGATGGCGGGTGTTGGAGGCAAGTGCCGAGCGTGGCGGAGGAGCGTGACGCAGCCTTGGGTGCGGAGGTGACGCACGGCGGGGTCGTAAGATCGCAGATGCGTAAGATAGCCGCAGGCGACGCGGCTTTGGGTGCGGAGAGCCCAGAGACAAGAGACCCTCCACTGGCCTCCTAGCGACAGGTGGAAGCTTTTACTTTCGGGGTTTCAACAATTCCTTATGGACAATTATTAGGGAGCAACAGTCATCACCCTAGTTTCGGCTGTTGACTTACCTACATGGTCGATGATGAGCTTCGGATGACGTCATGAGCCAAACAACTTTCCCAAACGTCGGCCATTTTCGGCTTGTTTGCAAAACGAAACTGCCAACACGTTGTTGAACATCAACCATGTAGGTAATTCAACAGTAGAATGCTGAAGTCCCGAAAGTAAAAGCTTCCACCATGGCCAAGTTACTAGTGGAGGGTCTCTTGTCTCTGGGAGAGCCGCGCGCCGCGAGATGGAAGATGCTGCGGGCGCGGGGAAGCGGGGGAAAGCACCGGCCGCGGGACGCGGACCGAGGAGCGACATCTCGTGAAGAGAGCTGCCAGTTTTCACGACGGTGACGGCGTGAACACTGGCATTTTATGACAAGTTCACTTAGAATCGACAGTTCTCCAAAAAATTGGAGGGGCCAATAGACGACCAAAAGAAAGCGGGTATGTACAAAATTGAATGTAACGAGTGTGACAAAGTCTGTATATTGGGCAAACAAAAAGGAACTTACACACAAGGGGTAGAGAACACATAAACTGCATCAAAATCAAGAAACGGACAAATCTGCAGTCTCAGCGCATTACTGGGAGAAACAACATGACATTAAAATCTTCCCTCTCTTTTAGATCCAGTAAACAACAAGCACCACGTAACAGCTTGGGAAAATATTTATATCCATCAATATAAAGACAGAAGCTTCAACACTGATTTTTCGGGGATTTCAAACCTGATGTTCAAAGCGCTGGATCATCGGAGGGGAGGTGGAGGAAGGGGAAATGTAAACCTGAAGTCATTCAATAGCAGCGGTGGATCAGTCGCTGATGATGGTCTCGCGATGAGACCAAAACGCGTCCGACCGGTATAAAGAACGTGCAAGTGAGTTTTTATTAAAATTTAAATTATTAAGTTCTTGTGCAAACCCGAACATCAACGTTATATCTTCAGAGCGTTTCGCTAGTAAGCACAGCATTTAGCCTCGTACACAGGTTCTCGAGATTACTAATGTGGGTCATTATATCGGTACCTTTGTATTAGTAGGTAGTTGAAAAACTCTTCTAGCAGGATACACCTCTGTTCCTCTGTGTCGTGTTCATAGAGTTCCTTGATGATGGTCCACATCTCCTTGGCTGATTGGCAGTTCATCAGATGTACCAGAATGATTTTGTCCATGATATTCGTAATCACCCGCTGAGCTGTAGCATCAGACCTCTTCCAGTTTTGAACATCTTTGGCGTTGAATAAATCTTCTGGATAAGAGCCATTGGCATCCTTCAGCTTTTCAACGTCACGGTTCTCTATAAGGCGCGCGTTCGTGCTTCCTTCGTACGACATGTTGATTATTGTGGATTAGTCTTCACAAAAAAATGTTTATCGTGAATTGACTTCACGGAAAAAGTGTTTATTGCGGATTTGCTTTGCAAAAAACTTGTTCATCGCAGTTTTACGTAACGGAAGAAATGTTCATCGTTTGTTAACTTCACGAAAATGTTTGTCGTGGATTACACTTCACAAACCTTTAAAGAAACTGCCACGAATCTCATACGTTTAAGCGCGATGCAGCTTTTATTGAGCGAATTTCTTTTCTCAAAGACTTGCACTTGTTCACCACATAGAGCAGAAAAATTATCGCAACAATAGGTACCAAAAATTAATGCGCAATGTATCACGTCGTGTAGGTCTAAGTCAATGATTGTGATTTCGTTATCCGATTGAAACCAACCCGGAGTCGAAAAAAAATTATCTTTTCGCTGAACGTACTGACTGTAGAAAGCATTAACCGCTAATGTAGGACGATTCGATCTAAGATCTCGCGTTATTCACTTCACAATTATTGAAGCACAATGAGCAAAAAAAATGTTTACATAGAGTTCGAAGACTGTGGGTACCATAACCTGTCATGGGTTGTTTGATAAACTACCTACGTTGGTTATTTGAGAAACAATTTTATTTAGAAAAAACATAATCCTCACTTGTGATGGCTTGGCAGGTTACGAAAGACTAAATTAACTGCGCACCTAAATAAACCGCAGACTACAATGGCTTCGCCATATAGCCGCCATTTTGATTGCTGTCTTGATTTGCGGTGGAGACGAGAGACTGGGTCGTATGCAAGGGAGATGTTGCATGTGTTAGGAATTTATGATTTGACTATTGATTCTATTATTTGTAAAAGTTCGCGAGAAACACGATGGTTCCATTGATTCGCTCTGAAATCAACTCCCAAGCTCAAAAAACGCTCTCAAAGTTGAGGCTGTAATGGAAGGAATATCCAACGCTATTCTGAGAGTCCACGCACGTCTACATCAAGACAAGCTCTCCATGCAAAGATAGGGAGCAAATACATCAGCAGGGTTGCCATGTTTTCAGTTTTAGAGTCCCCAAATAAAGTGACAGCCAAAGACATTGAATCACGTAGACCGTGCGTTCGGGTCGGTTTAGTACTGGCGGAGCGAGGCAAGTCTCTCAGAGCCCCGTGATGGGCGGGCGGGGAAGGGGAGAGAGCGTGTGTCCCAATCACCCGAAGAGGCAATGGAGAATTCATGCCCGCGCTCGGTTTTTCACGAATATCTCGTTTAGAGTCCATTTTCAGACAAAATTCCTAAGAAAATAAGTTACGGAACACATAATTTTACACCCAATTAGCATTTTTTCATTTTTCCGAACTAATTATTAACCGGGGAAAAAAGCCTCACAATCCGACAAAAATTCACTGGAGCCGCCAGGAGCCGCTACTGCGCATGCGCAGATGTGCGCAACTGGGACACACGAACTCATCGATGCGGATTGGTTGCCACCACTCATCGCATGCGAATTTTTCAAAGTTGCCTCGCCCTCCTTAACACAGGATGCACGGTCTACGTGATTCAATGTCTTTGGTGGCAGCCCATTCATGCTCCCTATATTTGCATGGGCAGTTTGTCTGGATGCAGAGGTGGACTTTCAGGATAGCCTGGGATATCCCCTCCATTACGCCCTCAACTTGAGAGCTTTTTTTGAGCTTGGGAGTTGATTTCACGGAAAACCAGTGGCACCAATGTGTTTCTTGCGAACTTTTACACAAGAATCAAGTGTCAAATCGAAAAGTCCTCGCATGAATTATGTTTTTTTTTATTTATTAAAACGAAGAGATTCACACACGATGTCTCGTACCTAATCTTCACATTCACACGGAATCAGCACATTTCATGGGAAACATATCGACGGTGAATCTGGAAAAATGCGTATATTGGTTGCGTTGTTTCAAAATTCCTGCTCCTATTTTATTTCTTGAAAGGAAACCACACCAACATCATGGTTTGAAATTTACAAAATATTCTTCACGTAGAGATGAAAAATAACTGAAGTTTTCATGAAAAGGCGTTTAGTAGCCATTCGTGTAGAGAATAGATTATGACAGGAAGTTTGAAACGCCGCAAACTAAGATGTATATTTCTGCAGTTTCACCATCGATGCATATTGTTAAAAGTGGCCTTTGTAAATGGGTAGGGTACTTCATTTCCCAAATTTAGCTAAACTTACATTAAATAGGGGCAAGTCAACCTCCTTCAATTTTGAAAAATTAACTTTCTTCATTGCTTCTACTACTATTTCTGATTCATTTTCTTTGGATGGAAGAGGTTGTGCTTCTTGTAACAATTTCAGTACAGCCTTGATGCTTCTAAGTCCTATGAGAAAAAAGAAATGAAGCTGTCATGTTCAAAAATTTAGTGTATGAGAAAATAGTGAGTAACCGTTGAATAGAAAATTAGAACCTGCAGATTGACTATCTGTCAACATACTGGTTCGAAATTCATGTGTCATAGAATGCATCGGTAATTCGGTAATTTAATTTTAACACCACATAAATCATCTGAGATCAACGTATTGCCTGGCCGCTGCTGTCATAAAGTGGCCAATGTTACTTTTAACATGTGTTTTATGAGTGGCGGTAGTCACATCCGGGCAAGTCGCCTATCCTCCAACAATGGGCCTGTTGCAAACTTTTGCTAGAGCAAAACTAAGAGTTGTTTCCTACAGATAATGCCTCAAAAATCACGATGAGCGCATCGGCAAAGTCTGAAATGCACTCATAACTTCACAATCTGCGTAAGAAATTTGCGGTTTTTTGAGCTTCCCGCTTCGAAAACGATACTACGGTACAGGTGAACATTTTGTTAGAGGAGTCGTTCCATTGGCGACAATACTCATCATGGCCGACGCCAGTCCGCCAAAACACGTGTGATGGGACGAGATAACACTTGAACAGGATTAAACCATATAACAATCGGCGTGTTTACGTTCATATTTTCCTCGCCCGCCTTAATTGACCTTGAACTCTCCTCGAATTACGCGAGGAACTGCGCAAGCGTCGGCCATGATGAATATTGCCGACGATGGAGCGACTCCTCTAACAAAATGTTCACCTGTGCAGTAGTATCGTTTTTGAAGCGGGAAGCTCAAAATAACGCAAATTTCTTACGCAGATTGTGAAGTTATGAGTGCATTTCAGACTTTGCCGATGCGCTCATCGTGATTTTTGAGGCATTATCTATAGGAAACAACTCTTCATTCTGCTCTAGCAAAAGTTCGCAACAGGCCCATTGGCAACATTGCCCCTTACATATTCCCTGGCCGAAATGGCTAACCAATATCAAAATTGAAGACAAAGATGTTGACAACACGTCACGCCCACGTTGTACTTTGTATGCATAATAGGTAATAGGAAAAAAATAATTCGATTATCATGCTTTAAATCAGATTTGCGCTATTAGGAGCAAATACTTAAGACTATTCAAGGAGGCAACTGCAAACGAGTTTCGGATCTTGTGGGACCCGTGCTGAAGCAACGCAGCTGCCTGCCTTTCTGCTTTGCCAAGCGTGAAGACGTGTCGTATAAAAGACACCCATCAGTAGACTAGACTCTGAATGTGTCTTCAGTTGCCTTCCCGATTGTTTTTGACTAGTGTGATCCAAATAACGTAACTCTAAGAAGGCTTATTTTATTAGAATGACTTTTTGCCCTTTATGATTAATATCTACAAGCACCGGTGCGATGACTAGGTATATTATGGCGTAATATCAACATCCCTGTCCCTAATCTAAGAGCTGCTTAAAATCCATTCTCGTTCATTGTAGGTAATGTGAATGGATTTTGGTCATTTTTGGCTATACTACAGCGACACGAGGAGATATGTTCAAAAAGTTTTTACCGTTACGTTTCAATGACACATTTATGCACCTACATTTTATAGGCAAAAAAGTGAAACGAGACTTTCAAAGATATACCTATGGACGAAACATATACCTGACTGTTCCATTTCTAAACTATACAGGGTGTACTCGGTTTTTTTCCCGGTGTTTTAGGTCGCACAAAGTCAGAGACAGCGGGATAGAGAAGGGAATCGACCCCAAGAAATCCGATTTTCATGGCCCTGAACCACACCCCCCCCCGCCCCCAGCTTCCTTTGGGATGAGAAGGAAGAAGGATCGATCCTTTCGAAAAGTCGAATCTCCCGTCCAAATTGCGATTCATCCGAAAAGTATGGAAAATCTGAAATCAAACGTGAAATTGACACTTAACAATCCAAAATCGGCCCACTCTCGACTGGAAAATGGCCCCCAAAATTAAAGAAGGGGAAAGTTACCCCCTTCGTAATTTCTCTTTGCCTGCTAAATCGATAGAGATTCTCCGATAAGAGGTGAGGGTCTCCGACCTGATGGACCCAAAGGAATCCGAATTACGTGGTCTTCATGCTCCTAGGCCCTCTCAGAAGGTAAACGGGACGGGACCTCAATTTTAAGAGTCGGGGCTCCTTTCTGAATCGCAAATTGACTGCATCCAAATTGAAGCGTGGGAACATGACAAATTTAAACCTTAATTGACCCACCCAAAACCCAAAGTAACGCGGTCACATTATAGGAATAAAAGGACAGTATTACCGAAATCATAATGGCGTTGATGCGACAGCTCTTGGATAGCTAGTTTGTGGACTGAGATAATTTTGGTAGCTAGCATATTAGCTTCAGAGAACCCAGAGGATTTCAACAAAACACGCGTGATTTGCTCTAAATCAGGCTTCATCATAGAGACGGATCGAAATGACGCCTGAAAAAAATGTTATATTGAACGAGTGCAGCGACTGTAATCTCAGGAGGTACCCAAGAGCCAAAAGGTACCTAACTCCATTTTAGTAATTTCGAGATATAAAAAAACCGGGCATCGGCCCCATTGATATTATCCCATAATTTTGAAATTCTGTATCTCATAACCGGCGTAATATATGGCTACCAAACTTTTCACACATACCTCGATTTTTTTAAAAAATGTGAGTTCGGTACCTTTTGGCTCTGGAGTGCTGATATAAGGAAAACATTAACACACGGTTAATCTTTGAAGCTGTTCTCGGGAATGAAAACCTCCATCACAGCGGCCCATCCTATTTTGAAGAGGAACATTGAGCATTGTCATTATTCAGGTCTTTCATGACTTGTAACACTAGTTGATAGATTTTTTTTGATGAAATAGGAGCAACATTGCTTAGGATACAGACTTAAGATTCTCAGCATGATTATTTTTGAATTGCCCGTCCCGCCGGTCTAACCGTTGTACAAGGTTTGTTCAATAAGAAGCCGGATTTTGGTGATAACTAGCCTACCATGCGCCCGATTTAGGTTTTCTTGAACTAACCTAATAGCTGAAAATATATTTAAGAACGCTAGATTCACATAAATGAACAATTTCAATTAGACTTGTGGTCACGTGGCTTGAAGTCAGGCAACCTCATACACGAGTATGACTTGAAATGCTGGAAAGGGTTATACTGCAAAATGGCCGAAAAGTGACCTAGCGGGGATTGTTCGAAACTTTGTGGGACGATTGTGTTGGTAATTTTGGACCTACATCTACCTGCTTTTAGGCAAAAACCGCGGGGAATTGACGTAGCCATTTGTTCAAAGTCATAACCTTCAAATGTGCATAAATTTCGCAAAAAAGCAATTACAGCGCTCGTATGTATACCAAAAAAAAGCAGAAAATTACGTCGAGTCGCGAAACGTACCAAAATGAGCGTCAAAACCGGGTGTCGGGCATGTTGCCGGATTTTTAAATCGCTGTAACTCGAATTCCCTAAACTTCTCAGAAGATAATTACATATCAATGGATGCGGAATCGAACGCGCAATAATTTCGACAGCTTTTTATTCAATCCCCATCAACTGCAACACACTTTCAGGCGGTAACGTGATTTTTAAAAATCATGAAAATTACAAAAAGGGCCAAAATGTGGCAACAGTGGACTCATATTAAAATTTCTTCTGCATAGGTCGTTAGATCGTAATTTTCTGCGTTTTTTTATATACACACGACCGCTGTATTTGCTTTTTTTGCGGAAGTTATGCATATTTGAATGTTATGACTTTAAAAAATGGAGACGTCGATTCCCCGCGGTTTTCGCCTAAAAACAGCCAGATGATGTAGGCCTAAAATTAGTGAGAGCCGTACAAAGAGTGAGATAATAAAATTTACTATCGAGTTGAAAGATCGTCGGATATGTGGGTGTATTGGCCAAACTTAAAACGTAGGTATCTCACGAAAAGATAATTGTTGCGAGTAGCAAAAGTAGTAAAATGTGCCTATCCTCGAGGGTTTAAATATGGAAACTATGACAAATCAGACTTCCATTTAAAATGCACTTCACGTATTTTCATTTTCCCAGAAGAAAGAGGCTGTCCCATTTTCCATAGGAAATGGCCGCAAGAGCTTTTACATCCATACTTTCAGGGATCATAACGGCGAATCGCAGAGGCCTAAATCCGGTGACATCCAGGACTTTTATTTTAATTGGTTTTTGTAATGATTCATGCGTTCCCTTTTATAGAAAAACCCGAAAAACTGAATTTTTTGGGCTTGAAAAATCAAACAATGGTTTCTTTCACAATGAAAAATTACCAAAAACAGACTATACTATACATAAAATGAAAGGTCTGGTCAAGAGCTTTCATTTGAGCCCAAGATCAAGTTGATTTGTTGCTTCGTTCAAAAGTTATGGCGGTCGATGCGTTTGAACTTTGACTCCCCTCCCCCTGGAGGGCTAGACGAGAGATATCAGCGTATTTAAGCCTCTCCGATGATCAGTTATGATTCCTGAAAGTATGGATGTAAAAGCTCTAGCGGCCATTTCCTATAGAAAATGGGACAGCCTCTTTTTATCAGGGTTTAACTTCCCTAGTAGCAGAGTTATATAAAAAATTTGTTTTTAAAAGTATAAACCGTAAATAACCACAAGCTAAAGAATATTCATTGTTTATGTAATGGATGTAAAGTTTTTTAGTTAAAAGTTTACATTATTATGTAACCCTTAGTATAAAAGTTATATAACCAAATTCAAAGAGTGTATAAAATGAATTTTCATTATTCCTCCTGGCTGGTAGCGCACTCTAGTTATGAAGTGTGCAAGTTTTCATATGCGTTACTACCAGGTGGTGGATCAACGTAGAGTTGTGACTTACCTTAAATCCGCGGCGTCCTAGTCGGGATTAGAACCCACGCCTCGGGATGGAGTTGCAATCCGAAGTCCAGTACTTTACCACCAGACCAGCCAGGCTTGATATGGATGGGCCCCTAAATTCAATCTCTTAACTATCACAGGCCTCTGAGTCCGTAATATGTTTGTTTATTGACGGATTCTTATATTTTACCAGACTTTATTATTTATTATTTATTTATTTATTGTTTTTTATTTCATGATGTAATTTTTTCATTTTCATTTTTTTAACTCTCTCTCATTATTTTAGCTCTCTCTTTTTTTTAAATATCATGATTTTTAACTATCATTTTTTCTAACTCTCTCTATTTTTTTAACTCTCATTTTTTTAACTCTCTCTCTCTCTCTATTTTTTAACTTTATAATTGCGTCTTTTTCCAGTTTTAATTATTTGGGCCTTTTTCTAGTTTGAATTTATGTCGATGTATTTATGTTATTTATTTATTATTATTATCATTTCCTTTTTTCTTTTAAATTTTTATAATACTAATTTAAACATTTTAAAAAAAATCCAAATTTTTAAAATAATATTTAATAATATTTTTAAAATATTAACAAAAATAATTATGATATACTTTAAAAATATTATAAAATATTATTTTAAAAATTTTAATTTTTTATATTTTTAATATATTTTTAAAATGTTTTAAAAATATTCATTGATTGTATTTCAAAAGTACTTTTGAAAATATTTTAAAAATTCATGAAAAACATTTTAAAAATATATTGAATTTCAATATTTTTAAAATATTTTTAAAATATTGCTGTCTAACTGGGCAGGGTTATGAGCCAGACACGCTACCAACTGAGGTAACAGGGCTCCTCGGATTGTGTGCCGAAATATCCCCTTTTAACTCGTCTCGGAGCCACTAGTACCTCTAATAATACCTATCCCACGCAGTCTGAGAGTCGAGGGTGTTCATTGAAATGAGATCATCATCATCATTCATGAAAATGAGATAGGTTTACGTTAAAGTCATTCAGGTCATTTATATAACAGTTATATTAAGCAAATTAAGCAAAAGGATACTATGCGTATAAAGAAAATTTATAAAAACCCTTCCTCAATTATATAAATTTTATATAAACGTTATCTTCTGAAAATATGAATAATTATTTTCATGGGCATTTTATATAAAACTTATATACACGATATATAAACTTTAGTTAAAATGGTGCTTATATAACCGGTATTAATTCCTACGTTAATACGTTTGTTAGGAAGGGGAAAGTGGATCATGCTACTAGGGTTGTAAAGCATCTAAAGTAGATAAAGACGCAGTGTTTTGTCGCACTGTACCCGTTCCTAAGTTCGGTGACGTCTTTGTAGGACGCTGTAGGCTCCTGTTTGCATTTGCCATGAATATAGTTCTGTGATGCTCCACTGTACATGGTGGGCTGCAGTCACATATGGGCCTGTTGCATTTCCCCTGAAGTTCTATGATGATCCATGAGACATCGTGAGAGGTCCCACGAGAGCACATACGGGTCATACATACACTCTCATGGGAGCGCACGGGTCACGGTCACATGTTAGCTCCCAGGGGACCTCACGGGCTCACCTGTCCATTCCCCAGGGGAGCACATGTGATGTCGTGTTATTCTACTGGGCGCACATGTGATCACATGTAATTCCCCTGGGAGCGCATGTGATCACATGTCATTCCCCTGAGAGCGCATGTGATCACATGTCATTCCTTGGGAAAATTTTTTGCAGGGACGTGTGCTATATTATTTGAATCAATTACATTGTTAAAAACTTTCAGACTGAAGATAGGTAAAAGCACGCTTGATGTGTTTGTTGGGCAAGAGAAAATGACAGGCACGAGTTGACGATCACATAGGGAAGTTTTATTCAGAGAAACACACGTACCAAAAAGGTTGTGCTGTCGAGCATGCGGAATGACAAAAGACAAGATGGACCATTCTTTTCTGACTCTTTCTTTTATGGGCATTGTCTGACTCTGTAGTTTGTGTATTTATTCAATTGTTTATTTGTTGTTTATCTGAGATATACGGATTGATTCAATATCTTTGTTTATATCAGATATAACCTTAAAGTATTAGTTCAATTGTTTTTCATCAGTCTTCTTATTGAACAGCTTATAGGGTGGGTGGGAGTAAAAGGCCGCACGGGGAAAAAGGCCGCAGCCGACTTTTTTCCCGAAATTTTTTTAGGTTGGCACCGGGACCGTGTCAGTTATGTTGGAAGTAGTGGTGCTGTTGTGTTGACGAAGTTTCGGACCGAACAGACGGCTTCCCTCGAAAATATGAGGAAAGTTAATTTTACGTGGAAAAAAAAAATCGATTTTTCCAGTTTTATTTTGGTCAATTTCAAGTTCTATAATTGATAGAAAAATTCGGAAGAGCTGCAGTTCGAACAATGATAAGGATGGTTTGAATATCCCACCGTCACTTTTGGGCTAATGGCCTTGTCTTTGAATCTTAAGGTTTAGCCGGCCAGGTTGGCCTAGTGGTCAGCGCGTCTGACTCTAGGCCAATAGGTCCCGGGTTCGAATCCCGGTGGTGGCGACAAATTTTCATGGAACTGACGAGTGGATCTGCAGAAACAGATTCCACTCGGCCTTAATCCCTGAAAATTTGGAAGCCTGGAGCATGGATGTGCTTAAATCCCATGATGTCTAAGGACAATAAATACTGTCTATCGATGGCTGTAGGTTCCAACGGAATATAAGCCACTGAACCAGCAAAAAAAAGAAAAAAATTGAGGTTATGGTTACCTACGTCATCAAATGGGGCAAAAAGCCGCAGGTCCGATGGGGCAAAAGGCCGCATGTGGCCTTCACTAAAACAGCACTAATACTCAATCTATCAACTAATACTACCAATACTAAATCTTTTACTACATATTTTACTAAATATTATTAATAATTACCAAAAATCCTAAAATGTAGGGTAGGTGGAGGCAAAAGGTCACACTTCTCCGTTGCGGCCGTCTGTCAGCCGCCGTATCGCATGGAAATTCTGAAAATGTGGTAAAATATCAACTATAGTCCCTTAGGCATGAGATGGCACACTTTCCAGAATTTTGAATGCATTTCCGAAATTTTTACGAACTTTTCCGGAAGTGGGGCCTCTTTCCCCATTTATGGGGCAAAATGCCGCAGTTACGAAATTTTTGAAAAAATTCATAAAAAATTCGAAAATGCTTTTAAAATTCTGGAAAGTGTGCCATTTTGTGCCTAAGGGTCTTTAGCACATATTTTACCACATTCCAGAAATTTTCACGCGACACGGCGGCCGACAGACGGCCGAAACGGAAAAATGCGGTCTTTCACCCCCACCTACCCTATGAAAAATCAGAAAATGTGTGTTTTGCGTGAACGTCAACATGAGCAGTATGGATAGAAAAACAAGATTACCAATATTTTGGGCATGCAGATATATTTGCAGGCATTTATCCCCCTTTTTTTGATTCATACAATTTCTTCTATGGCTCTGCTAGTAGACACGGCATTATGGGCACGGATTAGGGAGCTTTCCATGGGAGTCACTTCTCAGGGGAATTATTCCCCTACCCAAAACAGCCTGAGGGGAAATTCCCATGAGAAATCTTTAGCAGGGGTGTACTCACAAAAGAGTTAAGTATGGATTGAAACAAAATACTTATGTACCTTCATGTTGTCCGGCAATTCAATTCTCTCTGCATAACCTAATGCCGTAGATATAAATATAGAACTGGTAGGATCAAGCTTCAGAATTGTGCCTTCAAAAAGTAAAGTGTCTCTGCCACATGATATACTCCAGTAGACAGTCTGGATTTGTTGAGCAATGACTGATAGCACATTGAGAGAAATACGATCGAAATCAGAAAAACAGACCCAGGCTCCACAGGACGCTAGACCCTGCATAAAATTGGAAGAACGTATATTATAAAATTATGAACAAGTTTATCTTGTACACCTAGATACAGATGTCAAAAGAAGGCTTCGCTATCCACACTCTTTGAATGTTTATATGTATGTATGAGCCGCTTTTACGGCGCGCTAGGGCGCTCTGCGACGCCTACTCTCCACAGAAATCTGTCATGGTAGAAATCCTCCGGAAGCTGGCATCTCTCCATCTCTTCACGGATGCCCTCTACCCACCGTTTGGCTGGACGCCCTCTCCGTCGCCTACCTGGGGGGACCCACTCCAACACCTTCTTCGGCAACCTGGTATCAGCCATTCTCTGCACATGCCCATACCATACCAATTGCTTGGCCATGATATCGTGCACAATCGTCCTCTCAACGCCCATTGTCTCTTGGATACGTTCATTCCTGACACGTTCTCTCCTCGAGATTCCAGCCGATCTTCGCCAGAAATCCATCTCGGTCGCCTTGAGCATTTCTTGGGTCCGCTTCTTCAACTGCCACACTTCACTGCCATAGGTGAAATAGGCTTGACAACCGAGTTAAAAATCCTCTTTTTATTGTCCTTGGAAATCCTTTGGTCCCAAAGAATCCCATTAAGCATGGCGATGGCTTTCCTTCCTTGAAGATTACGGTCCCGAATGGCCTGATCCAACTTCCCATCCGAGGTCAACTTCACCCCCAGGTATTTGTATTGTTCGCAACTTTCTATAAGTTGACCATCCTCCTGGACTATGCTTTACTGAGCACCTCCGACTGACATCTTTTTTGTCTTACGGACACTAACCTCGAGGCCCCACTTGCGGTACTCCTCAACCAACTTCCGGGTCATATACTCCGCGTCATCGTGATCTTGACTTATGACTACCTGGTCGTCAGCAAAGCATAGCGTGAACAGTGTTTCTTGGTCATTCAGAGGGACGCCCATTCCGGCACACTTTCTTTTCCATTCCTTCAGAAGATGCTCCAGATATATCTTAAATAGAGTCGGTGACAGACAATATCCCTGCTTAAGCCCCTTGGTGACAAAAAAACAGTCTGAAAGCCTTCCTTGGCACTTGATTCTAGCAAAAGCCCCCCGATAAAATTGCTTGACTGCCCCAATAAGTCCTTTACCTAAACCAGTTTCTTCTAGGACTTCCCAAAGTTTCACAAGAGGAATACTATCATAAGCCTTTTCAATATCCAAAAACACTAAATGAAGCTCCTGGCCAACAATCCTCTTCTTTTCGGTTAACTGGGTAACACAGAACAGATGATCAGCGATAGACCGACCAGCCCTAAAACCTGCTTGCTCCTCCGCCTCGAACGGGGTCCACTCCTCTTCGATCTTCGCTTTCAACACTTTTCCTTAAATTTTACTTATCGTTCCTGTAACCGCTAACCCTCTGTAGTTCCCACAGTCATCCTTCCTTCCTTTTTTATGCGACGCTGTTATCCAGGCCTCTTTCCATTCTTCCGGGATGTTATCACCGTCAATGCACTTCTGCAGCAAATCCCTGAGATGGTTAACCAACTTGCCGGTTCCACATTTAATTAACTCAGCTGGAATGTTTCCTGGCCCAGGAGCTCTTCCATTCATCAATTCCCTGATTGCTTTGACAATCTCTTCAACTCGAATTTCCATTGAGTGATCCTCAACTATATTTTCAGCATTCCCCGTTTGAAACTCTGGTCGTCCTTCCGTCAATAATTTACTAAAATGTTCGTCAAGCTGCGAGATTGTTATCGGAGATAGAATGTTTTGTCTCTTTAAATGTTTACCTCTATGAAATCAACTCTGCTTTTCATTGGTATGACCTCCAGTTTCAAAAATTAGAGCCATAAGGAGCTATCTATGAATTACGAAACGCTCTGGAGGGCGGGTGGGTACCCATAACTTTGTAATCAAGCGGGACAAGAGGAGTCTGGGATGTGTGCCCAATTATGAGCATTTCGCGGACACGAAGTTCAAATTAGGTAAAATACTCGGCGACACTTCTAAGTAGTGCGCTAGGAAGATTTGATTGGCTTGTGACCGTGTTGCCGGATCTCTAAGTAAAAACGATAGAATAGAATTTATACAGGGTTATTCAAAAGTTACGCACCACTACTGGCCATAACTTTAGTTCTAATTATGATATCGATTTGCGGTTTGTGGCGTCCTTCCTCATATCGAGGGGGAAACTTTTTGAGGTACTTTTCAGTTCTTCAATCTCCCCCCCCCCCAGGGGA